TGAGCCTAGCTAAGATGCATGTTAAAAAGCTCCTTGCTCGCATCCAGGTGGCGGGTGCAGGGCTTCATGAGCCAGAGCATCATGGGGTAGGCCACGTCACCGCGATGCACACCGGCATCTGCACATCCCCGAGCACGAGGTCCCGCTGGGGGAAAATGTTCCTGTCTGCAACCTGCGGCACAGATAGGAGTTGCAGAATATGTGGACATCATGTGCCCGCCCCAACCACCTGACATAAATGTCCAGAAAATGTCCATGGTGGTCGACCAGGGCCTGCAGCCCATAGAATAGTAGCCCTTCCTGTTCATTAATTGGGCTGCTCGATGGGGCGGTGCACGGATTGGGACGTGTGTCCCATTGAGGGCTCCTCTGCAGTTTGGGAAGCCAAGGGCAGCAAACCCAGCAAGGATGTTGCCCAGGTCCCCGAGATGGGCAAGCCTCTTTAGCAGCTCCACATTGATGGCCCTCACCACCTGCAGCAAGAGACAAATAGACAGACAGAAACCAGGGAGTTACACAGGTTACCAAAGAGCTTGGGAGGAGAATCCCCCTCTTCCCCGACCCACCCCTTCCCTTGTCAGGATTACCCCCTCCCCTGCATCAGCGCAGGGTTGGCCGAGGAGCCGCCTCCAAGTGCACTCCATCCCCCGTTCCCTCTTGCCCTTGCCTGGCAGTCGCCCTTTCTCAACCCCCACACTCAGCAGGGCCTGCCCCCTGAAAGTGACTTACCTCCATCAAAATGACCCCAATGATAGACCTCCCCACACCAAACTGGTGTCCCATAGAGCAGTAGCTGTTGGGGGTGGCCAGCTTCCAAAGGGTGATTGCAACCCGCTTCTGCAGGGGGATGGCAGGCCGCAGGTGGGTGTCCTGGTGTTGCAGAGCAGGGGTGAGCCAGGCGCACAGCTCCTGGAATGTGGCCTTCTGCATCCAGAAATTGTGGAGCCACTGGTCATCGTTCCAGAGCTCCATGATGAGCCGGTCCCACTAGTCCAAACTCGTCTCATGCCTCCAAATATGCCTGTCCTAAAAAAAAGTTTGGGGGCAAGGACAGAGCTCCTGCATCCCGGACAAAGGTCTCATAGGTCTGGTCCGGGTACATATGGGGCAGGAGATTCATGACAGAGTCATGAAGATGCAGCAGAAGCTGCAGTATGGCAGCGTGGGGCCATCGTCTGCCCAGGGGCAGCTCAGGCTCCATGGCTAAAAACACAGTGAAAAGCAGAAAAAAAACCCAAAAATAAACTGCTGTGGTGTCCAAGAAAGCAGGGAATCCAGAGCAAGCACTGCAGTAGCTTTGCTTTCTCTCTAGGAGGTAGGCAAGCCAGACGCAGGAGCAGAGCAAGGGCTATCCAGGGGTATCCCTTAAAGTATGCGTCTCTGCAAAGAGCATGCAGCAGCACTAGGAAGTAAAGGCTGCCCCCATGCCCTGTCAGAAGCTGTTCCGGGTGCCTTTTTTTTTTTTTTTTTTTTTTTTGGAAAGAGCATCTAGTAGTCTGAACACTCTTTTTTGAAAACGTGGATCGATTTTTCAATTCTCATAATGCAATCTAGACTCTTTTTCGAAGGAGGCTTTTTCGATAGTATCTTTCAAAAAAGCCTCTTTTGAAAAAGGCGTGTAGTCAGGGAGAGATTTTTCTAAAATAATGGGCCATAATTACATTGGGGCTGTGTCTACACTGGCCGCCTATTACGAAATAGGCATGCTAATGTAGAACTTTGGAAAAGGCAAATCCGCGGGGGATTTAAATATCCCCCACGGCATTTGCATTTTCATGGCCGGCGCTTTTTTTTTCCGGAGGATCTCTTATTCCTACTTGCAAGGAATAAGAGATCCTCCGGAATAGGGCTTTATTCCGGAGGATCGCGCCAGTCTGGATGCTTTTCTCCGGCTGATCTCCAAGACAGAAAAAAGCGGCGGCCATGAAAATGCAAATGCCGCGGGGGATATTTAAATCCCCCGTGGATTTGCCTCTTTCCAAGAGCTACATTTGCATGGAGGATCTCTTATTCCTACTTGCAAGGAATAAGAGATCCTCCGGAATAGGGCTTTATTCCGGAGGATCGCGCCAGTCTGGATGCTTTTCTCCGGCTGATCTCCAAGACAGAAAAAAGCGGCGGCCATGAAAATGCAAATGCCGCGGGGGATATTTAAATCCCCCGTGGATTTGCCTCTTTCCAAGAGCTACATTTGCATCCTTATTCCGTAATAGGGGCCAATGTAGACGTAGCCTGGGAGTTGCAAAATTAGCTGTAAAACCTTGCAGATGTCAATTGTATTAAGGAAAACATGTAGCTGCATTAACCTTTCTACTAAAACAGCGTTCTGCCCTCCCCAAATCTGTGAGGCATTAATACTAGCAAGGCATTGTATAAAGAGAAAGAAGCAAGAAGAGGATGAGTGAAGGAAGATGGTTCTTACATCTGTAGCCAATACTGGGTTTACAGTGGCACCCACAGGATTGCGGCCCTGGGGCCACTGTCAGCCGACGGTCAGGGCTCCCTGTATCTGTCCCTTAAGACCGGCTGAAGTTCTTTTAAATTGTGCTTCGTTCTGTTACAGCAACTGAAGGAGTCAGGTTAAAGCTTAAACAGTTACAGGTTTATTAAAGAAGCTTATAAATCATATGGTTACAATGGCTATTGCTCTATTTCTTAACTACTAGCAAAATATAGATCTTAAAAATGGTTACAAAGAAGATAAAGATAGAAAAATAGAAATAATGGTACCAAGTAACAGCTTACTCTTTCTATGTGTACACTTAAGACAGAGGACCACATCCAGGTACAATTTTTACCCCCTTCTGCGTCGCTCAGTCCTAGCGTGTCAGGCCAGGATCGGTCCCTCAGTTCCTCGGAAAGACGAAAATACGAGGTGGGCATCCCCATAGAACCTCGGGAGGTCAAACACCTAACCCGACCAGCAGGTAGAGGGTAGAATGACACTCCCGAGGTTCTATGGGGACGCCCACCTCGTATTTTCGTCTTTCCTAGGAATTGAGGGACCGGCCCTGGCCTGACATGCTGGAGTCGAGAGGCACAGAAGGGGGTAAAAATTGTACCTGGATGTGGTCCTCTGTCTTAAGTGTACACATAGAAAGAGTAAGCTGTTACTTGGTACCATTATTTCTATTTTCTATCTTTATCTTCTTTGTAACCATTTTTAAGACCTATATTTTGCTAATAGTAAAGAAATAGAGCAATAGCCATTGTAACCATATGATTTATAAGCTTCTTTAATAAACCTGTAACTGTTTAAGTTTAATCGCTCTCTCTCCACATATTTGTGTTTTTCAGCTTCTCAGGATCAGATGAGCCAGCACAGACTATGCTGATTTTACTGCTCCTTCTCTGCCCTGTATGCTTCAGAGAGGCAAATAAGATGGATGATATGGGGGGTTAGTCTGTCTGGCTACAGGCCACATTGGAAAGGGGCTCATTATAGAGCTCTCTAACCCTACCACAGGATCAGATCTGGCTACTCACCAAGGGCAGTCTAGCACCCAGGCCTTGCTGTGTGAGTGGCTCCCAGCCAGCAAACCACAGTCACCTGTGTAGTGGGGAGCACACAGCCCACCAGCTGGGCTTTACCATGTTAGGGTTACTGGCCACAGAACCAGAAGGTGCAGTTAGTGTAGGCAGGCTGGGGGTTGGTTGTGTCTGGACAGTTACCTCACTTCCAGCGCAGCTCTCGTTCCAAGCAGTCTCTAGGGTTGCCAGATGGTTTCAACAAAAATACCAGACACACTTGACATTACATCACAATCCACATTACATCTTGTAAATGTAATACTGAACATTTATATTTTCTCATTTGTATTTTCTCAATTTGTTTTCTGAAGAGAAAGCTCAAATATTGGACTGTCCAGTTCAAAACCGGACACCTGGCAACCCTAGCAGTCTCTGCTGCCCACCACCTGCGGGACCCTGCCTGCCGCCCCAGAGCCAAGTCGCCTGGGACTGGTGCAGCAGCTGGGCTGATCTTGGCTGGGGGGACACCACATAGTGGGGACTATGTTAGGCCCCACCAGCCAAGTAAGTCCTGAGGGAGCCTAGCTTGGGTAGGCCCCATTCCAGCTCTGGCCTAGCTGATCGCATTACTCCCAAAGAACCAGAGAAAACCTGCCCCAGGACCACCTGGCAGACATAGTCACCTCCCAACAAGACTAGTGATAGAACTGGGGGTCAGGACACAGGGTAATGTGTCTGGGGGCAAGAGTGCTGGGTTGTAGGAGGTGGAGGAAGTCTGTGTGTGTTGGAACACTGGACAGACTGGTGCTGAGTGGGGAGCTGTGCAGTTGTGGTAAGGGAATAAAGGGATGGTAGGTATATGCATCTCTGAGGGCAAAGGGATAGTGGGGGTGGTGGGCAGTTATGGAGGAGGGTCCCTGTGGGGGTAGATCTCTGGGTAAGGAAGCGCCGGACAGAGTGAGTCCATGGAACACTGGATGTACAAGGGCAAGGGAGATGCTGAGAGCGTGCAGTGTGGTGTGTAGCACAGGCCCACTATGGAGGGGAAGGGGCATGCTGGCAGCGAAAGCCCAGGAGGGCCCAGGGCCAGTATGCATCTGGTGACTGCTGATTTGCAGTGTCCTTGTGTTCATCTGCATGGAGCTCCATTGTCCATGGACACCATGTCCCACAAAAAGTTAATCTGACCCTGTCTATAGCCTGAGCATCAGAAAATAATTAACCCATTGTCTCTGTTGAATGAAAACAGGTTTAAAACAGGTGGCAGGTGTTCTGGACAGAAACCAATTTCCTCAAGGCATATGCCTGAGGAAATTGGATAGCATCAATAGCTGCAGTGCTATTGTGGCGTATTTGGTTATAAAAAACAATTATGTTTGGAGGTTGGGGGGCTGTTGGCCCCTTACTGAACCTTAGTAGTAGGGTTTGGTTTAAGCCTCACCCAGTACCAGGAAAAAAGAAAATGGGATAGAGAGAAGCCTGAGACTGACAGGTCTCCAGGCCAATGGGAAGAGCATTCCATTGAGCCAGATTGACAATGAGAGAGGCTAACCAATGAGAGAGTCAGGAGCCAAGGACCCGTCCTCCGTGTGAGCTAGCCAGCCAGGGTAAAGTAGGGCGAGCCAAGGGGAGTGCAGCAGGTGGAGCTGAGCCGGAGTGTGAACAGCAGGCCAGGACTAGAGCTGCCATCCAGAGCCAGAAGCTGGACACCAACTGGTGAGCCAGGGCGAGATGCCGGGGGGAGGCAGAAGGGCCAGAGCTGGGATAGCAGGCACTAGCCATGCCTCAAGTCGTACTGGAACCAAGAGAGGCAGGGTTGAGAAGGAATGAGGTTTAACAGTTAATTGGAACTAAGGGGTTTATCTCAGAATCCCACTTCTCTGCCGCGTGTAGATGCGGGCAGTTACTTCGGGCTAGTCAGTTTCCAAAATGGCGACCAGCCAGGATTATGCTAATCAAGCGTGGGATATTTAAATCCCGTGCTTCATTAGCAATTTCAGTTGCCCTCATTAGCCTCCCTAGTTTGAACTAGGGGGCTAGTGTAGATGTACCCTGTGGTATTGTTAGCTGATTGTAACTGGTTTGAATATTGATTAAGTATAGCTGTAAACTACTTGAGTTTTAGATGTGGCACAAGTTCTCCCTTCTATTTTTGGTACTTAATTTATATTTCCTTAACTATTTGTGTTACTAGTTTTTCATGCATTCAAACCACGTGCAAATGAGGCTAAGTGTGGAATATTGCCGGGCTTCATTTGCATACCTAATAAGTCACCATTTTTTTTCAGAAGAGGCTCTTGCGCAAGAAGGAGCGTCTACACTGCCCCTTCTTGCGCAAGAAAAACCTTCTTGTGCAAAGCCGTTACACCTATTACTTTTCAGGAAGAATGGCATTGCGCAAGAGAGTTTTTCTTGCTCAAGAAGGGGCAATGTAGACACTTCTTCATGCTTAAGAGCCTCTTCTGAAAAAATGGTGGCTCATTAGGTATGCAAATGAGACTCGGCGATATTCCACGCTTAGCCTCATTTGCATATTACTCATGCAAGAAGCCACGAGTGTAGACATAGCCCTTGAGTTTTAGATGTGGCACAAGTTCTCCCTTCTGTTTTTGGTACTTAGTTTATATTTCCTTAACTATTTGTGAGTTTTTAATGAATTCAAACCACAATTAGAAAGTAGCCTATTTCTATAAGAACAATAAGGTGGAGAGTTAAGGAACATTTCCCACTTTTGAAAAAGAGCTTTGTGTGAGCTGGAAAGCTTGTCTCTGTCACCAATAGAAGTTGGTCCAATAAAAAATACTACCTCACCACCTTGTCTCTTTAAGGGCATGTCTATATTAGGAAAATTATTTTGAAATAATAACTCCCCATCTTCATCAGCAACCTCCAGCGCAAGGCCAACCAGGCCACCAAGCTCTTCAAGGGAGACCCCGAAGGAATTTGTCTGGGGGGGCTGGCCTGCAGATACTGGCCCCTGGACAGCGGGGGTGGGGCGAGGCGGGGATGCCCAGGGATGTGGGTCGAGAGTGAGGGGCCAGTGTATTCAAAGTAGGAATAAGAGATCCTCCGGAAAAGGGCTTTTTTCTGGAGGATCGGGGCCAGTGTAGACACTCTTTTCCGGCTTTTCTAAAAGCCGGAAAAAAGCGGCGGACATTTTTATTTAAATGCCGCGGGGGATATTTAAATCCCCTGCAGATTTCCCTATTACGACCTGTAAAATTAGCATGCCCCTTTCGGAAAAGGGGCCAGTGTAGACATAGCCTAAGTGGGACATCTTGGAAAGGAGATCTGCTTCTACTAATATGATGGTATGGTTCTGGGATTTAGGGAGCTCTATAATAAAATCCATAGATAGAGATTCCTAGGCTTGTGAAGGAGTAGATAGAGAGACCAGGGGATCCAGGAGGCTAGCATGCTTCATACAGCAATATACTTTGCATGAATCCATGTACGGTCTCATAGAGGCATGCAGTTGGAGCCGCCAGAAATGTTATGTGATAAGTTTCATAAGCGTACGAAATCCAAACTGTTGGGCCAAAAGGTGAGTCATAGTCAGAGAACTGAAAGGCAGAGTGGGCCTTCACATGCATTAACACAGCCTTGGAACAGAAGTAGCCCATTCTTAACAGAAAAATCTGGGTTGGGTTCAGTTGGGAGACATCTGTTTAGTCACCAGTTTTAGTTGCTCGACAGGGAGGATTTTGTAAGAGCTAACAGGTCCATGTTTATTAATACATTGTCAAAGTGGTGGGGCTTCAGTATGGTGGAGGGTTCTGGTAGCACTCCCCCTTTTGCAAGACTGCATTGTGTTTGCTTTTCTGGCCTCCGGGTGGGTAATGGAACTCAAAGCATAAACCGGGACCATTGATTATAGTGCTGGTTGAGACTTTTGCACATTGCTGGTGTTGAGAGTTTTTGTGGTTGGTGAATACTTGAATGGTAAAACAAGCACCCTCCAAGTTGTGACACCACTCCTCAAGATAACTATGATGACTAGCAACTCTTTTTCATAGATTTTGTAGTTCTGCTCCATAAGACTTAGCTTTCTGAAGTAGAAGTAGCTATCTCTTATGGACAGAGAATGCTTAGTAACGTCTGTAGTTGTGACAGTACTGACCCACTGCCATAATTGGAAGCATCTACCTCAGCAACAAATGGCTTGGATAGATCCTGGTGTTTCAATATATATGAAGTTCTTCTTAAATTGCTCTTAAGTCCCATATCCAGGTCATATTCAGCTACAACCTCTCCAGTGGGACTAGACAGGGTATTTTCCCAGCACTGTAGCAAGTCTGGGTTTGTGGGGCATCCAAAGGTGGAACAGCCACCTTCTCTGCAATACATGCAAAAGCTGTTTCAGTGCCAATATTCCATCTCTCAGAAGATCTAGTACTCTGGTCCTGACCATCTGCATGGGCTCAGGTTCTGAACTAAGCAAAGGGTATATACATGAAACTCCAAGGCTCCAAGCAAAGGGTATATAAGAGCTGCAGTACTTAACACTAGGCCAGGAATGGGTAGCAGCCTGTTTTCTTTCCAGGAAATGCTCAGCTTCTCAATTCTAATGCAGATTTAATGTAGGATAATGCAACTTTGTGAGGAAGTCAGCCTAAGCTAGCTCACCCTTTACAGCGACAATCTATCCTGACAAACGGCAGACTTCAGCCACGTTGTTCTAGGCTGAATCAGCAGCCAAGTGTCATAAGAGGACTATATACGTGCAGCTGGATCATGAGCCCCGTATGAGGAAGTGTACAGCTGCTTCAGCAATATGAGTTCAGTTTGGTTCACTGAATATGAATGAGGATGAACAAATTCCTCAAAGTGGCTCAGCATCAGGTCATCCCATTCCAGGGTAGGTAAGGCCCTTCTAATCTTCTCCTGACACTAGATTAATAACCACCCCTCCCCCCCCCTTCATATGGGTTCAAGGATGACCTTATCAGGAACTGTAAATAATGTTTTAATCTTCTTTAGAACATTGAGAAACACCTGTTTACCTATTTAAAAACAACATTTGCAACCGATGTTATCTTTGCAAATAAAGTATTTGTTTCAAAATGAAAATTAATATTTACTTCTGTATTCTAAAACTTTTAATAGATCCATAGGTGAAGTATCCACATAGTCTTGCTGTTCTTCTCAGTGCGTTACATTTCAATCTGTGGAAAGTGAGTAACTGGCAAATGATCTGCAAATTCAGCATCTTTCCTAAACTCCAGAAAATTAGAAAAAATATATTACAAAACTGGATATAGGTGAGTTTTTGTTTGCTTGCTTGATTTTTTTATTTGTTTATTAAATAATTTTTATTTTAAAATAATTGAATCGAAACATGGGACATATAAAATATCCTGTTTGAGCCTAACTAGTTCACCTATAAAAATAATTTTAATAAAGACATATTAATCTTACAATGTGGGAAAACTATAAGAAAACCCATATTAGCAGAATTTCAATGAGATGTGCCACTGGAAGAGACACAGTTGGGGATGGAAACACCTGGTTTATCAAATTTAGACCTCACCTGTAACTATGGGTTCTAGATTTAGAACAAAAGTTGAAACTCTAGCATCTGAGTTTCTTTTGGCACTAGCAGAACAAATTCCAGGCTGCTATATATTTTCTATTTCATTCTGCTATAATCCTAGATGCAGAGAAAGAATAACCTTCAAAGAAGAGTAGCTGATTATATATATCATAGACAGTGATAGTTAGAAAGTAATGTATTTAAAATCTAAATGTACTAAATGAGCAAGAAGAATTGTTTAACATGACTGTTATCCACAATACTTGTGTTATCAAAAAGCTATTTTTGGTGCAAATCCTTCCCCTGCCTTATAGATGTTCTGCAGAAGAACTTGACACTTAAAATATATGGCGTAAAGAAAGGGGATTTGATGAACCCATACCGGGGTGCTTAGCCCCTGTTCACTGTGGTTTCCTGTTTTTCAAGGTGACTTTGTCCACTGACACTTCAAAATAACTTTATAAGTGAGGCTGTGAATATGCCCTTTTATAAATTTGTAAATACTGATATTGAGGTGACATTGAGATCTAAAGGACAAGCCATCCCTGAGTCTGCAGCAGTGAGAAAGAGTTTTCCTGCCACTCCACCACCTGGAGGTGAATACCATCTTTGGAAGCCCTAGAGGGCCCAGCCTAGCTGACCAGGCTTTCCTCTGGGGCCAGGATTTGTGTCTGTGGGAAATATCATGGTATTAAGCACAATTCTTCTCCTACTTCTGCCCTGTACTCCCGTGAGACAAAGATCAGACTATTGACCTAGATCTTGTAATTGATTATTCAAATAATTTCATTGCAGGTCAAAAAGCCCTTCAAAGAATATTCTACTGAGATGTTTATATAATCTGAACAAAGAAATCTGACAAGGTTTTTGGGCCATGACGTTTTTACTTAAACGCCAGATTTTTAATTCTATTTTGACACCCAAGTCATTGTGTAGATTCTTCAGCAAACATTGCCGAGGATTTGCCCCTCAAAATATCTCTGGCTATGAATCACCAAACGTCTATAAAGAATTGCCCGAGCACTTTAATTTTGCAAGTGATGTTCTGGACAAATGGAGTCAAATGGAAAAGGTAACATGTTTGGTCTCCTTAGTTCTGATGTTTTCTTTCATTTCTGTCTGGTGTTATATCATTAGTTATAAAACATGTGATATCAGTGTATAGGAAGAGATGATCCTTTCATACTTTCCTTCTGTATGATACTTTCAAGGGTGTCATGTAAATAAGGGCACGTCTACACTGCAACGTTATTTCAAGTAGCTAATGTTATTTTGAAATAATAAGGTGAGAGTCTACACAGCAAGCCCATTATTTCGAAATATCATCGAAATAAGCTTCTTGTTCCAGAATCTGTAAACCTCATTTCATGAGGAATAATGCCTGTTTTGAAAGATCTATTTTCAAAATAAGTGGTCTCCGGGGCTTCTCACAGTTTCCCTGGGGCCACTCTGTCCACGCTCATCAGAATTCTATAGTTCCTCTTCCCCTGGAGCCCTTAAAGCTGAAGCCACAGGGAAAAAGCTTGTGGCACAAGGAAAGCTCTACTAGCCCTGTGCCACGCAGCAGCAGCCTTGACTGCTTTTGCTGCCATCATGAGCAACGCCCATGCTCTCACTGCCCGCCATGGCTGCAAGTGAGCCGGAAATCAGCTCCCAAGCCCCTGCCCGGAAAGAGGAGGTCCCCTTCCTGGTCTGGTGTGGAGATCCTGGATCTCATTGAGGTCTGGGGAGAGGAGGCAAACCTTCAAGATCTGCACACCAGATGTAGGAATGCAGACATTTACAGCCGAATGACTGACACTCTGGGCCAGAAGGGACACATGCACCCAGAAGCAGGTGCGCATGAAGGTGAAAGAGCGGTGTGTATGAAGATCAAGGAGCACAGAGCCTATGCCAAGCGCCTGCTCCAGGGTGGTACCACAGACCTGCCCCTATTTTGACCAGCTCTACTGCATCCTGGGAGAGAGGTCAGCAATGTTCCCTCTATGTTTTTCCATCTGTGTGCAGAATAAATTTTGTTATGCACACCAAGGCATGTACAGAGGTGCACTACCAATAAAACACATGTTGCTGGCTGTGATCAGCTATGGGCACTTACACCATGCCTGCCAACCAGGAGGTCATCCTGGCCCTGAAGCCAGCAACCCCCTCTCGGGATGTCACCCAGGAATCGGATGAAGCCGAGGAAGGCCCATCAGGTGAGTTCCATGACTTTTCCTGAACACACATGAGGGGAGGTAGGGAGCAGTGAGGGTCTGCATGCTCCTTGCCCAGCCTTCTCGGCCTGGGATTGCACAGCAGCCTGTGCACGTGGGTGCACATGGAGCGCTAGTCCAGAGCACACAGCCGCAATGAGGCAGCCACTCGGGAATCTTTAATTCACAGGCTAAGTCTACACTGCACATTGTTGTGCAAGAAGATATGCAAATAAAGTACGGCGATGAATATCACCGTGCCACATTTGCATACCTAATGAGCTGCCATTTTGCAGAAGGGGCTTTTGCGCAAGAAGGAGCTGTCTACACTGCTCCTTCTTGCACAAAACAACCCTCTTGCGCAGGACCCATTCTGCGCTTATTTTCAGAAAGAACGGCTCCTGCGCAAGAGGGTTTTTTGCACAAGAAGGAGCAGTATAGATAACTCCTTCTTGCACAAAAGCCCCTGCCACAAAAATGGCAGCTCATTAGGTATGCAAATGAGGTGTGGCAATATTCATCGCCTTGCCTCATTTGCATATCTTGTGCAACAATGCGCAGTGTAGTCGCAGCCACAGGGTTTCTGGCGAGGCGTGTCTTACTCCCAACTCTGTGGTGGGACACCTTACACCACAAACCACCACTAGGGAGGATGGGGTCATTGACACACACATAGCAGTGCCTGGGAGCAGCCCCATCCTCTTCCACTCTGACAGCTCCCAGACACAATGCTCCACTTTCTGCCACTGGTGAGTGCAAGGGGGTGGTTCCATCCCTTTCTCCTTGCCCCTTCCCTGCAAATGACATGGGTGGAACTGGGGAAGCAGAGCAGACCGGGACTGGATTGCTCTGCTTCCTGCTACTGCCAGTGAGTGCAGGGGTGGCCCGATCCCTGCTGCCATGGCTAACACTGAAGTTAAAATCCCCAACTAGTCACAGACTGTGCTTCTCATCCCCTACACTGGTTACAAAAAAGCAAAAAAGAAATCACACAGCCCACTTTATTGCCGGCCAGTTCTCTGGCTCCCATCAGCATGTAGGTCCAGTACAGTGAGAAGTTATTTTAAAAGTTCTCACATGTTCAAAATGTTGTTCTGACCCTAAAGGGCCTGCCTCCATACCAAGTCAGTTCAGATTTGGCTCTTTTCTTACCCATAATACCACACTGACAGCCAGTCCTTTAGTACAGGGGTGGCCAACCCATTTAACAAACAGAGCTAAAACAGCGGCAGAAAAAATGCAAAGAGCCGTACTAGAATTGTCAAGCAAAAAAACCTCTCCAAAGAATAGAATTGTCGAGCAAAAACAAAACAATTTTTTTTTTAATTTTAAAAAGGAGGCTGCCACTTTAAGACAGCCACCATCTTGGGCACCATTTTTTAAAACCCCGTAGTTCTGACCCGGTAAGCACAGGAAAGCCGAGGGCCAGCAGGGAGTTGGGGGAGAGGGGCAAGTCAGCAGGGGGGCACAGGAGCAGCTTCGCGAGTCACACTTTTGGGGTGCAAGAGCTTCATGTGGCTCGTGAGCCGCGGGTTGGCCATGGCTGCTTTAGTATCTATAACAAAAGGTTTTATTAAGATAAAAAAAAGAACAAAAAGAGAGAGTTAAATAGTAAAGCTGTCACATGCATACATAGACTTCAGAGTCCATAACAATTGATGAGTTTGTTGGCTTGAAGTTGAAAGTTCCTTTGGAACACATGTACAGCTTGGACAGTTCATTCAGTCCTTTTTTTCAGAGGTTTATTTGTAGAACGATTACTCCAGAGATAAAAGGCAGGAAGGAAGACCAACAACAGAAGAGGCAGCTGCCTTTTATAGTCTTTTGCCAGGTAGCTTGTGCTTCCTTTGTTTCAAATACAAGGTGCCAAGCACATGGCTTGAAAGCCTCTGTACATAGGCCTCCCCCTGCATGCTATACTATATCAAAGTGTATCCCTTACTTTCTCTCAATGGGTGATTTGAATAGCTCAGTGGTCCCCAACCATTTGGAACTGCCGGGTGCCAGGGGGCGGGGACAGTCACACACCCGGGGGCGGGGCTGCGCATACGCCACACCCCCATGAGCCATGTGCCTAGGGCCAGCAAACCCATGCACCGCGTGGCCATGGGTGGGGCCACCCATTCTCCACAAGCCTGGAGCCGGCGCCCTCCAGAGCCACGTGCCCAGGGCCAGCACCCCCCCATAGCCGTGCGCCTGGGGGTGAGGTGGCCAATTTGCCACGTGCCTGGGGCCAGGGTGGCCAATTCGCCGCGTGCCCGGGGCCAGCACTCCTCATGTGCCATGCGCCCGGGGCTGGCGTCACGTATGCGCAGCGCACCTGGGGCCGGCACTGCGCATGCACCACGCACCCGGGGCGGGGCCAGCCCCGAGCACTTGGCAGGCGCACACATATGCCCCCGCGGGCACCATGGCACCTGAGGGCACCATGTTGGGGACCACTGGGATAGCTGATGGTCCTTACTGGGCCATCAAACAAACTAGGAAGTGCTGAAACTGTCTGTAGACATCAGCTAGAAGCATAGCCTAAGTTTTGAAATACAGACATACGTACATTTCTATAACTCAGAATGCTAGAGTGCTACAAGATAAACAAGATTATCATATTTGGCAAATTATAACATTTTTGCTGAAATCTTGCATGGCATATCTGGCACAACTCATTGCCAATTTACAATATTGGTATTCATAATATCCTAAAGTGTCCCCCAGATCCACACATCACATTTACATTTATGTGTGCGAGTCTTTGTAGGATCAGGGCATAAGTAGAAAAGACTGAGAAAGGAAATATTATTTTACTGATAGGGAACTAAGGCACAGAGGCTATGTCTACACTGACACCAGAGGTAACCCGAAATAGCTATCCCATATATTATAGCAAGCCCATTATTTTGAAATATAACAGTCTTGCTATTCTGATGTCCAGTAAACATCATTCCACAAGGAGTAAGGGATGTTTCGGAATAGCGGGTTATTTCAAAATTTAAATAAGCAATTTCCAAATTGACTCAAAATAAGCGGGGCAATTTGCATAGCTCAAATTGTGTAGCTTATTTCAAGCTTTGGGTGCAGTGTAGACACATCGGCTGTGTCTACACTGGCAAGTTATTCCGGAAAATCAGCCGCTTTTCCGGAAAAACTTGCCAGCTGTCTACACTGGCCGCTTGAATTTCCGGAAAAGCGCTGATGATCTAATGTAAAATCATCAGTGCTTTTCCGGAAAAACTATCCTGCTCCCATTCGGGCAAAAGTCTTTTTCTGGAAAACTGTTCCGGAAAAGGGCCAGTGTAGACATCACAGTAGTGTTTTCCTCAAAAAAGCCCCGATCGCAAAAATGACGATCGGGGCTTTTTTGCGAAAAAGCACGTCTAGATTGGCCACGGATGCTTTTCCGGAAAAAGTGCTTTTCCGGAAAAGTGTCCTGCCAATCTAGACGCTCTTTTCCAAAAATGCTTTTAACGGAAAACTTTTCTGTTAAAAGCATTTCCGGAAAATCATGCCAGTGTAGACGTAGCCATCCAGAGAGATTAAATGACTTGCCCAACATCATAATAGAAGTTAGTTGCAAAGCTGGGGAAAAAAGCCTACATTATCTCCTTAATCCCAGTCCTGTGACTTAACCTCAAGCCCAGCCTTCTGCTCCTGAGTCCTACTTCAGGAAAGCATTTTTATCTAGATAAACTCTGAAATCCTAGTTAAGTCAAATGGCTGAAAATTAAGCATGAATTTAAAAACTTTCCTGAATTCCTGCCTAACCTCAATTCTATAGATACTGACACACACACTTAACTTCACAAACAGTACGTAGTGAAAGCAGTGGGACGATCGTATTCTTAGTTATGCACATGTTAGTTGTGCTTTTCAGGATCACAGATGATAATTAGAATCAAGCATTCAGAAAATGTCTAAATTCAGTATTTTTATCAGGGGATAATGATAATTAAGGAGAAGTAATCTATTTTGCATAAAAATAGTTACAAAGGAAACTTAGGTTTAAAAATGTCAAAAGAATAAATAATTGTATGTTTTAAATAAGAGGGGCTAAGACCATCAGAATTAATGTTAGAGACTTCTATGCTCTCACTAAGCCTTATCCTGCAGCCATTGACATTCTTATCTTAACAGGGAGATCATGATTGGACCTGCTGTATATTTTCACCTGAATATGTTACTTGTAATGGTCTGTTGCTTAAAAAATGCTTGTATTTCTCATTAACTTCTCTGTGCATGAATTTCAGTTTCATATGATGATCGATTCTTGTTCACCAAGTGGGCTCATTGCACTGAGGTGCTGAGTACAGTAGTTCTAAGTTCTACTGCAATAGAAGTAACAATCATGTACATCGTCCTCATTATAGGGTACGTCTAGACTGGCAGGTTTTTCCAGAATACTTCCAGTATCCCGGGAAAACTCCACCGCATCAAGAGAACGCATTTGCTCTTCCACTTTTTTTTGCAGAAGAACGAAAGCACTCTTTCAGGGAGTCTAGATGGGACCAAATGGCAGAAGAGCCTCTTCCAGAAAAGCAATTGGAAAAAATTACGCAAATTGCAGAGTGCAATTTGCGGAGCTTTTTCTGATAAAAGAGTGTAGTTTACACCTAATCTATGTGTTCTGGGCCATGTTTACAGGAAGCAGAATAAGGACCTTGTACAGTTGGAATTATACAATAACATAAATAGCTTGACAGATCTTTTCCAATACCATGACTATGATCTATAGCAAAACATGTGCAGAGATAAACCCGCCCACAGGTTGATCTAAACCTGCACTTTTCAAATGGTAACAAGGCATCATTATGCATAGCTAGGGCAGCTCAGAAAATGGAAGGCAAATCTTCCAATGCACTTGATTAACAAATACATATTAGATTTGGGTTATAGGCCCACAAGCCTCCAGATACTTATGCACATTCTTACTTGTAAGCACAGGGTTAGGCCTCCTGAAGTCAAAAAGACTGCACCTCTATTTGAAGTTAATCAAGTGTGTGTTTGAAGCATTGGAGCTTCTGACTGTTGCATTGTTTATATATTTTCCTAATTTCTTGTCTTTACCAGAATGGAGAGAGAGCTTCCTCCATTCCAGCCCTCTGGTGGGTAGGTGATCAAGGCAATGAGGTGCGGTGGGGTTTTGAGGAGCTGGGATTTCTATCCAGAAAAGCAGCCAACGTACTCTCCGATGCATGTGGTCTGAAAAAGGGAGACAGAGTTATTGTGATGCTACCACGAATACCAGAATTGTGGTTGATAACAGTAGGCTGCATGAGAACAGGTTGGTATAAAGAATAATAGATGACTACATTTATTTGCATTTCAGTAAAGTTACAGATCCCAACTGAAATCCAGACCCCATTAAACTAGGTCCTAGTATTGTAACCGTGTTGGTCCCTGTTGACAAATAGAGCAAAGCAATGTGGGTAAGCATCCCACAGCACAATGTTGTGGGAAGGCAGAGCTGATCCCGGCTCATCTTGGGATTCCCTCTGAGTTTTTCCACAGCATTCTCAGCTGCTGGGAGCATCATAATGAGTAGCTCTGTGAGTGCTCCCCTGCTTCATTAGCATAAAAATGGCTGCCACTTTTTTTCCGCACGGAGCTTTGTTGGAAAAAAGCGCCAGTCTAGAAGCTGATCTTGCAGAAAATAAAGCCTTTTCCGAAAGATCCCTTATCCCTTATTTCATAGAGGGATAAGGGATCTTTTGGAAAAGGCTCTATTTTCCGCAAGATCAGCGTCTAGACTGATGCTTTTTTCCGACAAAGCTCCGGGTGGAAAAAAAGCGGCAGCCATTTTTATGCTAATAAAGCGGGAGAGATTTAAATCCCCACTTCATTAGCAATTGTGATACGTCTAATTTACATCCCTTTTACAAAAAAGGGATGTAGTCTAGACATAGCCATGGAGGAGAAACCCACCATGGGCCAGGAGCTTATTTACAAAAGAGAGCAAAAAGCATTTTTAAATGCACAAACATCAGATCCCATTTCTCAAACCATAAAACAATAAAACCTAACGGATTTATCTAAACTTTACGCTACTTACAGAAGAGTGAAGAGTCTCTTCTTGGAGGGAGACATTCTGTCTGTCCCCCTCTGTAGATGGAAAGAAACTGCCTAGGATAAAGGAGAGGGAAAACCCAAAATTCCTTTGTCTCAGTTTGAAATTCCTACCTACATTCCTATTGGCTGAATCTACCTGACTTAAGTAAAGTTAACCCCTTAGTTCCCAGGCTGCTAGCTAACCCTCATGATCATGACAGCTGGTGTTTCACTGAACCCATGCATTCTTCTTACTTAGGCTCCCTCACCCTGTCCTACTGCACACACGTACAGTTAGGGAGACATGCAGCTGCAGAATAGTACCAGTACTGAAATTAGTGCTTCATAGAAAGGCTTTTTGCTAGGGAATTGCCCAGCACTCAGTGGTATCTGGAGTGTCTTGCAATGCATATTAATCTATAATGCGTAAGATCATGAAATCTACCCCCTCAGCATCAAAGAAGATATACACAGCTTCCCCCCAGTTATGAAATACACAAAGTAAATTTTAGAATTTAAAAAAACAAGTTTATTAACTACAGAAGTTAGATTTTAAGTGATTATACGGGATAGCACACAGATCAAAGCAGATTACTGAGCAAATAAAGCAAACACATATACTAAGCTTAATACATTAAAGAAATTGGCTTACAAAAATCTCACTCTAAATTTTATTTTAGGTTGCAAAGTTTCTGGTAGACAAACTGCTCTTGCTTGTATCTTAAAACTGAAGGTCTTTCTCATAGGACAGACGCCATTCCCAGCCCAGGCTCATTACTTTCCCTCATACACAACCCTTTGTTTCTTAGGGTATGTCTACACAGTAGCATTATTTTGCAGTAATTGATGTTATTCCAAAATAGCATAGTGTGCATCTACACTACAAGCCTTAATTTTGAAATAATGTGAATCTGGAGGACTTCTTTCTCTGATTCATGGTAGTCCTTCATTTCACAAGGACTCAGGGAAGTTGAAGGAAGAGTTCTTAGATTTTAAATGATTACAAGAAGTGATGCATAAATGTCAGGACTGGTTACAAAAGAAATAAAAATTATACACAACTAACAGTTTACTTAACAAGCTAAGTGAAGTTAAAGGCAAAAAGATTTTGCTTCACCGTGGCTACGTCTAGATTGCAAGCCTCTTTTAAAAGAGGCTTTTTTGAAAGATACTTTTGAAAAAGCCTCTTTCGAAAAAGAGTGTCTAGACTGCAAGCAGTACTTTCAAAAAAGCAAGCCGCTTTTTCGAAAGAGAGCACCCAGGCAGTCTGGATGCTCTCTTTCAAAAAATCCCTGTTTGCATTCAAGAACACTTTTTTTCGAAAGAGCACTTTCAAAAAAAGGCGTTCTTCCTCGTGAAATGAGGAGCACTGCTGTTGAAAGAAACGCCGCGTTCTTTCGATTTAATTTCGAAAGAACGTGGCTGTAGTCTAGACGCAGGTAAAGTTTTTTTGAAAAAAAAAGGCTACTTTTTTTCGAAAAAACCCTGCAGTCTAGACACAGCCCAAATGTTTGTAGCAGTCTGTACTGGCTGATATGCTCCTGTTTAGCCAGGATCATCCCTCCCCTAGTTCAATGATGCTTTCTTTGTCTTTCAAGCTTTGTAGCTGCTATGAGTAGAGATGGAGAAGAGAGAGACAGTTTGTGTTTGGGTGTCTTTGTCTCTGAATAACTGGTTTCAGTCTGCTTTTCTGACTCTGGAACATGTTATAGCAATACAAAACAGAAGACTCTTACAACTTTATATTCCATGTCAACATACATATTTTATTAGGTAACTAATGTTGAGTAGATTATCACATTTCAAATGATACCTTACAAGACATACTTTGTACAGAATTTATTACAGTCTTGTAAAATTGCTGAACGTAACAGTATAGTTTGACAGAGTGAGGTAATATTTTTTATTAAACCATCTTCTGCTGGTGAGAGAGACAAGCTTTCAAATTTATTTATAGCTGAAGAAGAGCTCTGTGTAAACTCAAAAGCTTCTCTCTTTTGCCAACAAAAGTTGGTCCAGTACAAGATAATATCTCACCCACCTTGTCTCTCTACAGCAGCAGTGGGGAACCTGCATCCCAGGCCACCACTTCCCACAGCTCCCATTGGCTGGGAATGTTGAACCACGTCAGCTGGGAGCTGCAGGGTTCTGTGCCTGTGGACGCCCAGTAAATAAACCATCTTGCAGCTAACCCTGATGAAGCACATGTTGCCTGTAGGCCAGAAATTCCCCACCCCTATTCTAAAGGAAGGAGTATTATTTCCATTTCACAGGTACAGAGAAATTAAGTGACTTGTCCATGGTCACAATGGGAGTTTCTGGCAGAGCTGGGAATTGAACATAGATCAAAATTAATGACAAAATATTAATAGAAAGGAGTTTATTTTACAGAGGAGGAAGTCGAGGCACATAGTTTAAATGACTTGTGATCCTCATAGGGCCACAAGAGGGGACACTGTAGCTTTAGTATTGGCAGCAAAATAATATATTCTCTCCCAGAAAATACTTCTGCAAAGATTAAAAATGGAAGAACTCAGGGTGAAAGACTGGATTGGGGTTTTTGCTTCAGTGATGCTCTACTTCAGTCTGATGTAGCCTAACTCTACTCCTGGTCATAAGCTACCACTAGGAGTAAGTCTGAAGAGGCACTGGTGTGAGAATTGATTCTCAAAGGCTATGGTAGATAATGGCATCCCAAGGCATACCACAAAAGGGTAAGTACAAGGGGCCAGATGTCCAGCTAATGTAAATTAGCACAACTCTGTTGAGGCCAATGGACTTGCACTAGCTAGACTCTGGCTCAAGTATTTTAATATGTTCAGCTACTTTTAAACTTTTGTTTGTTGCACCTCTAGGAATTATCTATATTCCAGCAACAATTATGCTGACAGCTAATGACATTTTCTATAGACTTCAAGCTTCTAAGGCCAAATGCATCATTACCAATGATACACTGGCACCTGCAGTGGACTCAATTGTGTCCAAATGCGAGTTTCTAAAAACCAGGCTAATAGTATCCGAAGGAAGCCGGGATGGGTGGCTGGATTTCAAGAAACTATTCAAGTGAGTATGTCTTACCTCAGTGAGCTAATCATCCGGATGGACATTTGGGCATGTCCAGCTTTGTATTAAACCTTTTCTCATTTAAAAAACAGTTTCAGAACTCAGGTAATTCTTATCTTGCATGTGTTTTTGAGAGCCATTTCTGCCCTCATTTACCTGACAATTCTGCATTCTAAGACATAATACAAATTAAAAAATTAAGATGTATGGAAAAGATTAATGATAACACAACAGGGTCATTCTGCTGAAGGAGTGTGCTGAACTCTAGTTCCAGATATACACAGACACAGCAGCACCACTGAGGTCAACAGAAATCTTTCCATTGATTTCAGTGAGCACTGGATCAGGCCCTTAGTGCTCATCGGATGTAAAGGGTGTTTTGTATGTGTTTCTGGAGTCAGAATTGATCTAATAAATCTTATTGGTCAGTGATAATTGAGAATGAGAGCATAGGCAGTTTAATTTGGGAAGAGAAAAGAATGCCTGCACTAGAGTGCAAACTAAATAGGAATTGAAGTTTCCTTTGTTGAAAACTTATCCACTCTTATGTCCTTTCATCTTTATTTTGAAGAGATGCACATGATGATCATGACACCATTAAGACAAAGAGTCAAGAACCAATGACTATCTACTTTACCAGTGGAACTACAGGTTACCCCAAAATGGTGGAACATTCTCACAGTAGTTTTGGTATTGGAATGACCTCAACTGGAAGGTATCTACTGAAAATACTTTGTTGCTCTAATAACCCATGGTCACAAAATGAATACAGGCAGTCCCCGGGTTACGTACAAGATAGGGACTGTAGGTTTGTTCTTAAGTTGAATCTGTATGTAAGTCGGAACTGGCGTCCAGATTCAGACACTGCTGAAACTGACCGCCAGTTCTGACTTACATACAGAATCAACTTAAGAACCCCAGGCGTCCCCAAGTCAGCTGCTGCTGAAACTGATCAGCAGCTGATTCCAGGAAGCCCGGGGCAGAGCAACTACAAGATAGGGACTGTAGGTTTGTTCTTAAGTTGAATCTGTATGTAAGTCGGAACTGGCGTCCAGATTCAGACACTGCTGAAACTGACCGCCAGTTCTGACTTACATACAGAATCAACTTAAGAACCCCAGGCGTCCCCAAGTCAGCTGCTGCTGAAACTGATCAGCAGCTGATTCCAGGAAGCCCGGGGCAGAGCAACTCTGCCTGGGGCTTCCTGTAGTCAGCGCTGGTCAGTTTCAGCAGAAGCTGACTTGGGGACGCCTGGGGCAGAGCAGCTGGGGTGCTGC